TGGGAGTAGGAGCAGGAGTCGGAGTAGTATTCGTCGTCGTAGTAGTGGCAGGAGTAGTAGCAGTAGTAGCCTAGTAGCAGCAGTGGGTGGTGCTACTACTACCAGTATCACTATCACTACCGCTACCCTACCACTACCACCATTACTACCATTACTTACCACTACCACTACCACGACGACGACGACTTCTACTCATGATAGTACAACTCGGCATGAAGAGTGCATGAGGAGTGACGGCATGTGGGGATGTTAACCGTGAGTCCGATGCTGATGACATGTAACATGTATGGCTTTGCCCGAAGACGTTGAAGCAGGAGGTCCAGGAATCGCAGACTCAGAAGTCGCTGACTCAGCACAGTGCAGTCCAGCCCGGCCAGCGGTTTTGTCGTTTTACAGTTGTGCTGCAGAGATGAATTCACTCACGTGGCTTCGTTTGACATGTGACATATGAAGTCTCGCTGGATGCAGGGGCAATGAAAGCAAGCCCGTCGATGAGGAGCTGCTGCTGCCTTTCTGAAGAAGTGCCATGGGCAACTGCGCAAGTGTGCCGAGTTATGGTGGTGTTGTTGCTGCATGGCAGCATGAGGTGTGCCAGTTACCTCGTTGCGCCTTGTTCGATCGTTTGTCCCGTGTTATGGTTGGCCATTAGCAAAAATGCTGCACCTCCTATCATGTAAATGTGAACATGGCTTGGCTTGCAGCAGAAGCACGAGCCGTACCATTGAAAGGCGCTTCAGACAAAACAACATTTGTTCATCAGACAGCTTCTCCTCGCAGCTGTAGCGACGCCTGCTCCAAAAAATGCTCCAAAAGCCAAGCGGCTTCAGATTCAGATAGTCGTGGTCTGCATGGCTTCCCTTCAGACAGTCCCATGCCGTGTCCTTCCAATGGCAGCAACCAGCCATTGTTTGTTGATGCTGATAGGTTTAGGCTAGGGCTCCGACTTTGACGGAGGACTCGAGGATAAGCCGGAGATCTCAGACCCCGATTCAACGCGATCTAACGCGACTTACATCTCGAAATCCACGATGGGATTCCTTGCCAAACGGGCGGTGCCAAGCCTTGCGCAGGATGCCCTGAGCTCTGCGCGCCTGGCGGCTGCCGAGCGCTGCCGCCGAGCGCGGGACGAAGTCGCAGAGGCCGAGATGCTTTCGGTCCTCTCCTCCCGTGTGAGCGTTGCAGCGTGGCGAGGCAATATTGATCTCCGAAGAAGCATGAAGGTGCATAGAGGCGGTAAGAATGATGTTGGTTTCGATTGATGCTTCAAGGCGGAGCAGCGTTTGGGTGAGCGCTTGCGCCGCTTGGGTGCCGTTCGGCAACAAAAGCTGCAGCTGGCAACGAGCTCAGTCGCGCTTGTTTCCAAGGTCACACATCTGCCTCCATGTCACCGTATACGATTAGACTGAGCCAGCACTGCACTCGGGCAGCTAGGTGATGTCACGCAATGGTAGGCACGGGCATGCTCGTTTTGTGGAACCAGCGGGCTCTGTGAGGCAAGGCATCGCCCCCCCAACTGTACACAAAATCTGCAGACTGTGCGATGCTGCGCTGTGCTCCGGCAATGAAGCGGGCAGCCCAGGCTGCAGGCGTGGGGCGCCTTCAGGCCGGGTGCTGCGTGAAGATGAGTTGAGATGCAAAGCCTGAGTGCATGACAGGCAATTCGGGCGACTGCTGGCTTCACTCATCGGGCACCACTTACGCCACTGCATCCGATCTGTGCCAACATGGGGCCTGCCCGTTGGCATTCGACTGCCACGCAGTCGCAGTCACACGATGCTACCATCCTCAACCCACCTGTGGCAAACGTCAAGCTCAACCCGGAGCGGCCACCATCTCACGAATTCCATCGGCATTCCACGAGGTACAGTCGCTTCTTGACCCCAAGTCCCCGAAAGACCCCTTAGACCCCTTGGGCCACTTTTTTTTGATGTTTTGGGTGCGAGGTTCTTCTCGGGAGGTGCTTGAGGCGCTGGACAAGGACCGCGGAGCAGAGTTATATATAGATAGAAGATGACAGAAGAAAAAGGAAAAAACTGATGTCAGCTTGCGATGAGGACTGGATGGACCAACCCCACTATGAACCTGCAGCTCGGTTTGGAGAGCTCAACTTGCATTCTCGGCTCTTTTGGGGTTCTTCTGCTTTAGGCGTCGTTCGGAAAGGCCACACCCCGAAATTGCATACAGTCGCGTCTGTGTGCACGTGAGGTCGCGTGACTTGGATTTGTGAGCAGAGATGTTGATTTTGTAGTCAGCTTCATGTGTTGTTGGTTCCCGATGGAAACCAGAGGCACATGTCCGTGGCGACAAGGGATTTTGGGTTCATGACATTTAGGTCACGTGGCAAGACCGTGTTGCCCTTCGCATGGTGAAGACTTTGCGCAAGGCCAGCGTGACGCAGCAGCACTGGGGCTAACAGGTTTGTCGAGAAAGTAGACCAGACAGAAAGGGCGTGATAACAGCATGAAATGCATGGCAAGAGTCTGACCGTGCACTCGAGCTCGAAGCCGAGGATGCTTACTTCAAAGACAGGCTGCTGGATCGAGCCTGCAGCTTGTCTGTCTGTTTACTTAATATCGGCTGCACTTAGATGCAGCAACTCAAGTCAACAATCCCACTGCTTCCCATGCATGCAATATGTCAGTATAATGCAGCAGGCATCTTTACGCGTTTTCAGCTGCAAATCTGTACAGACAGTGCCCGCAACATTCAATCTAAACTCGCTCGGCTCTGAACAGCCACCTTACGACTTACATTGCAGCTGAGAGATCATTGCTTAAACATACCGTCGGCTGAACTGCGCTCATGCACGCCGGATCCACGTCGGTGGGAAGTGGTGCGTTCCAAGCGAGGACCAGACGGCCACAATGAAGCTCATGCAAGACTTCAACCTTCGACGAGCACCTGACGACCAAGCAAAAGACCAAATCTCAACCTCCCTTCTGGGCATAACATTCACATGCATGCTGGCTACTGGTGGATAACCATGACCCCACAGGTTGCCTCGCTCGTCACGTTGGCTACCTCCATCATGCTTGCAGAGGTGGCACCATGTCACCATCCCGTGTCTCCCCTACTCTGTCTCCTTTCCTTGGGTTCGAGTTGGGGGGGGGGGGGGTGGAACGCCAGCTCTTCCTGTGTCCTGAAGACCGGGGGAAAAGAGAAGCGAATTAATGTTGAATTACTCATAAATGACAGATCGGATGAAGACTACCACAGTCCTCCATTGCGGTTACGACGCGTGTGTGCAAGATAGTGATGCGATGCCGCCCGCATCCTCAGAACGTACTGCACATAGAGACTCCGCAAATATCACTGGCATCAAGGCTACAGCCTCGAGTCAGGTTTCACCTTGAATTGTAGATGAAAGTTCTGGTAGGTTCATATAACTAGGTCAGGGACGCTTAAGCAAAGCTTGCAGAAGTTGATGTCACACTTGCCTCGAACACAAGCTCCTCTCAATGCACAGAAAGTAAGACCATTTCCGAGGAAGTGCAAGAGCCTGTCAGACAGTAGGCTGCCCTTAGGCTGCCTTGTAGTTGCCAAGGCATTGCAGAGTAGCTTCAAAGCAAAACCAAACAATTGTTGTTCGAAGATAGAATTACATCATGCATGCGGTTCACATTCTGCATAATGAAACCCGCAAAAGCTGGAATGCATCATGGACGGCGGACACTGCAGCACATGGTATACGAATGAAGAACATGTTGCACCGAAGTACCCCATGGAAAGCATCGTATATCTCACCGTGCAGTCAGTAGGACACTCAACGCAGTCCACCCTACTGTGGTGAACTGAAACAGCGAACAATGCGCATCATAGTACAAAGCAGCACAATGCAGAATTCCTCAGATCTTGGAAAGTTGAGTGGCCTTGAATTGTAAGTAAATAAGTAAATAAATCGCGAAAATGTGTGTGTGTATATATATATATATCATATACATGTTTATACGCCCAAGAAAATGTGTACATGAGCTATATGTATGTAATGCTAGAAGAAAGGATGGACGAAAGCACAAAAATTATCGAGCCCAACTTAGCTAGATTGACACGCATAGCAGAATGCCCTTAAGAGAGCATAATGAGACAGTGCATTGTCCACAATAGTGTATATAGAATTGTACAGTAGAATTTCCTTGCGCCTCTTTATTGAATCTTGGAGCTGTAGTTCCAGGAACGGTCGGTCCTGCCGCGTTGTCTCATGGCTCTTTGTCAGCTCGACTCCAACTCAAGTACGTAGGTGCAACTAGTTCGTGTATGTGCATGTGTGCATGTGTATATATAAACATACTTGCATGCAATGTACAGGAAACAGGGGTGCATAAACGCAGGCGCATGCAACGTGGGCCCCAGCCAAAGCGCAATATCCCAAGGCATGCTCGAGACCATCGCAGCTGTGCCGGGCTTCGTGGCCGGCATGCGTCTGGGCAGAAATTCATAGGCGCAGTGCTTTGCAAAATGGAAAGCTGGTCAAAGTGGCTGGAGAAGTCAATTGATACTTTGCTGGCTTCCTCTGCCTGGAGTGTTTCACTGAGACAGGTGTCCGCACATGTCAATCTGCACGATGGTGGCAGCTCTGTCTTGCCATGGATACGAGGATTCACCACATGCGTTCTCTGCGACGCCTGGTGTCCGCTCCTCAGGAGTAGATCTGCACAGGTGTTTGCGCTGGTCGAATGATTTCGGTTGCTTGCGACCTGTTTCTGTTGTGGCACATGCGCCTCAGCAGCGAGCGATTTGCACGGTACCACACCAGAGTTTCAGACATGTGCACAACCCATCTCGTGAATGTTCAGTCATACCCAGAAAGAGATCTCGGTGCAGGTATGTATGTATTTATGTACCTATGTATAGTAGTATTTTACATGTATTCACATTCTACCTCTCCTCGCGGCTGTCAGAGAAGTCTAAAGTACATAAATTGGTCTGCCCTGCCCACCGTGTATCCTGCTAGGCATTGCAACTGGATTAAGCCAACCATGGACGAGGCAGGGTTTAGGTTTTGGGGGTTTAGGGTGTAGGGTTTAGGTTTCGGGTGTTTTTGGGTTTAGGGTTTGGGAGTTTCGGGTTTTCCAGACGTGGTGGGAAACAACTGCAGGCAGAGAACGAGAGGATGCATCTGATGACCTTCATGGAGTTGGCAAAGCAACGCTGGCACCAGCGGGTGCTGGTCGTTTGTGGGCAAGGGGTCTTCTTCGCTGCCTACACGATCTTCTACGTGGTGACTCCACGCATCGCCCACCGGCAGCTCGATTGCTTGATTGGTTTTCTTCGCTCTGCAGTCCCATCTCATGGGAAGCCACAAAAAATGCATACCATCCAGCATCTCAAGCCAGGTTCGTCGGATACCTTGAGGAAGAGGCAGTCCACACCTACACAGAGATGCTGAAGATGGCTGCCGGTCATATGTAGTCATGAGTCAAATGTTCGCCACTTCAAGGAAGCTAGGCGAGCTTCAGCCATCATGAGGTTGATGAGGGGAAGATCGAGAACGTGCCTGCTCCGAAAGTGGCCATCCAGTACTGGAACATGCCAGAAGATGCAACCCTTCGCGATGTGATCCTAGTCGTGTCTAGACTGCAAAATGAGACTTGCTTTCGAGTAGCCTGACATCAACATCTGATGCTTATTAGCGGCAGGTTTGAAACCTTTGATTGTCTCTCCTTTTAAGAGAATCACCTGGTGTGCCTAGGTGAGAGCTGATGAGGCTGATCATCGCCTCGTGAACCACCATATGGGGGACAGGGCTCATGCAGTGATGATAGCAACCCCGAGTACAATCCGACACAACAAGTTTGCGTCCGTCATACTAAAACCGTAGTATGAGCTGCAAGAAGGTTGGTCGTCCCGAGAATCATAACGGCACTGGGAATAGTAGCAATGGGAGCAGCATTCATGTTTAGCAGCTGCATTATCATTTCTCAATATTATGATTATGAAAAGTAGAAGTAGTAGTAGTAGTAGTAGTAGTAGTGGTAGTGGTAGTGGTAGTGGTAGTGGTAGTGGTAGTGGTACTAGTAGTAGTAGTAGTAGTAGTAGTAGAAGTAGTAGTAGTAGTAGCGCAGTAAGTTGTGGGACGTAGTAGTACGTAGTAGCAGGTACTCCCGTACTCCCTGGTCGCTCCCACTCTGCTCGCATCCTTGCAGTCATTGAGGGAGTGATTCCAGAAAAGTCAATCCCACAAGAGTCTACAGGGGGGAAATGATTCTGGATGTAACCCTGATCATGCATGCTGCGGTTGATATGATTGATATGGTTGATGCTGGATTTGGCGCGGAAATAACAGCACGGAAATGGCTTAGCAAGTCGTATCGGCCAGAAAATTTGTCGTGACACGCTAGATCGTTCGTGGTATTTGCTTGCGTTTACATAGTGTTTCGAGCATGAGCACGCTGCTCTGAAGTGTAGAAGTGTACTTCCGACAGCTTCCATCCGGAGTTGGCTGTGAGGTGTATGTAACCACAAACTACTCCCAACTGTAGTTGCGTTTGGGTGCTTACTTGGTGTTTCACATGTTACGGTATAGCATGCTATAACTGTACTTATTCACCCAGTTATCGTCCTTTGCAGGCGCCCTGGCGTGTGCCATGTTAGCTTCTCTTCAATCGTTAAGCGCATGGGCGATTGGCGTTTTTCATTTTAAGCCCCTGAGACTGTGAGTGCCCCAACCCGTGCAAGCTTCCAACTCTGATCCTGTTACCGTTCTTGCAGATTAGGCATAGTGCCATGGCCTTCCCGTTGAAATTTCGGGTATCGCGACGGTATCGTTCAGGTATCGCGGAAGTACCCAACATTTCCAGATTTTTTGGGTGAAAGCACCAAACCCAGCAAATGCAACGACTTTCGCACTTGAGGGTTGTGCTGTGTTTGAGTGCCCCTGCGTGTGTTGAAGCCCCTGACCTCCCTTTCTTCCGAAGCTTGAAACACGTCAAACTGACAGTTACCCCAAAGGCTTCACTGCTGGTGGTGCACGTTTGGTGGCAATATTTCACTGGGCTCAGAGTGTGTTTGACGTGTTTGTGGTGCATCTTTGCTGAGAGTGATGTAGGATGTTATAGATCCACTGTTTCACTGCGTGTAGTTTTGGTGCATGTCGGGTAAGGATGATGCAGGATGTCATATATGCAGCATGTCACTGCGTTTAGATGGTGTTTGACATGTTTGTGGTGCATGTTTCGTGCGGTAGGATGTTATCCATGTAGCATCTTGCCGTGTTTACATGTTGTTTGGCGTGTTTTCTGTACATATCGACGTTTGCAAAACCATGGGTGCGACTTGCGCTCAAGTATAGAAAGGGCTTCAAAAAAATCATGCTGGATTACACACACACGCCATTTCGCACGGCGTTCACTCGGAGAAATCTTTGGGTGGGACTTCTTGGGGTCGCGTGTGGGCGGCGTTCAATGCGGAAAGAAACTTACTTGCAGGCAAAATGGGTGGGACTAAGGGGTTGCCAAAGTAGCAGCAGTAGTAGGAGTATTTGTAGTAGTAGTAGTAGTAGTAGTAGCAGCAGCAGCAGCAGCAGGAGGAGGAGGAGTAGTAACTGTAGTAGCAGTAGCAGTAGCAGTAGCAGTAGCAGAAGTAGTAGCAGTAG